CAGGGAGGATGACGTAATCCATCTTTCTCCCTCCCTTCCTCCCCTCCCTCTTTCCTTCTCTTCCTTCCTTCCTTCTTCCCTTGGAGGCTGAGTGCCTACTCTATGCCCTGTGGATACCACAGGGAAGGAGGTTTATTCAGAAAGTGGTCCGTCATTGCTGACAGTTCAGTCCTGATGCTTTAAGCCCCCATTGGGACAGTTGGGTCACTGAGAGTGTGCCTGAGCTTCCTGGTACAAGTAGAAACACTGTCTGCCCATCCATCCATCCCCACCTCCTCTCCTCACGTCCGACATCCACACTGGGTAAGGGGAGAAAATCTCCCTCAAGTTCTAGTATCCTGTGGGACATGCAGGGGATGCCTCCTGGATTCAACTTTCCCTGAGTTTTCTACAAAAATGTGAATGTAGAGGGAGTGCTCCTGAATTCTAGAGAACAGAATGTACACCCAGCCTGGCTCGGGAAGATCCAGCCTCGTTCTCAAAGAAGAAAAGTTTCAAAGGGAGAACAAGACATTCCTTGAAGCCTCTACCAGAGACCGCATCACAAAGACGCAATAAAGTTCTAAGAAGATGACACCTTTGCTGTCCACCCACCCATCCTGAGGGACCCAGACCTACTGAAAACCAGCAGCCCCAGCTGGCACTCTTCCCAGCCCCAGCTCTCCAGGGCTCTGCTTCCCATTGCCCAGGAGGAAAGACAGCAACTGGGCTGGGCCATGGGGCTGGCCTTGCACTCATGAGCAGAGGAGACCCTCCCTGGAGAACTTGAAACATGCCAGCAAGCAGAGGCCGAATGCCTCCACTCTGAGTCCTTCCCCAGCCTCAAAGCAAATCATCTTTTAATTCTGAAACACCAAATATTTAATTTATGCTCTACCTCAAATGTCAAGCCCACCTCCCAGCACATAGCTTTGAAACCACGTAAAGAAGCCTAACACTTTCCATATGGTGAAGACATGAGGCCTTTTAATTGTGCCAAGTGGTATCATTCAAGGGTAATTCCCCTGGAATCTGGCGCTTGGGCAGCAGCTGGGCGGGCCTCCAATCTCATCACCCAGCCCCACAACCTCAGGGCTCCCACTAGGCCTGCACCCTCCTCTTCTTCCCCAAATATTAAAATGCGTTGATACCCCCTAATCAAATTACCAACGCGCCTGGCAGCCGCCTTTGATCCAGAGGCGGGCTTGGCTGCACCTCGCGCTCAGCCTCTCTCCAGGCAGCTCTGCTATAAAAGAACAAAAGGGTTAACCGGGGGCAGAGGGAACTGCTTTAAACCTGGTCATGCACATCCACACACGAACACGGCATGCACAGAGACGCCCAAGTCTTCTCTGAGTGTTTTCCTACCTGACTCCAGGGCCTACTCTGCCCTACTATCCACCTATTCGGCTTTGTATTCACCCAGTCTGTCTTCCACACCTGATATTTCCAGTCGGTTTTCTTTGGTCATTCCCTGTTGCTGCCTCATGTTTCTGGTATGTCCTGTGATCTCTTGGAGATGATGATGCTTCTTTTGCTTTCTAATTCCACTCAGCACCTTGCTCTCTGGCACATGCACTGCTCAGGGGATTGCTCTCCCTTCCCAGTACCAGTGCACCTTCCAGCTCTCATACCTTCTCTCCTACAAGCTCATATTCCCCTGGACTTCATCACATCCCCAAGGAAAGGGCAGAAGCCAGGATCTTAGCATGTTTCCCTCCAAGTGAGCCTGTCCCCTAAGGGACATGGGGACACAGAGCCTCTAGTTGTGTCTTCCAACCCCGACCACTCCCTGTTGATGGGCCCCCACCTACACTCCTACAGATACCTCAGTGAACCTTCCAGTATCTTCCTTCCCAGGTTATATATTTTTTTTTGAAGAGTTATCTACCATAACCCTGCCAGGAATGAGATTATTACACCCATTTTGCAGAAGAGCTAATTAAGGCATATAAAGGTAAAATGCCTTGCACAAGGTGACGAATACTTGTGACAGAGCCTAAACTTATTTATTCTCTATTTAGGAGAGCAGGCTTAGTTCAGTGCCAGTATGGTCACCTGCTACCACCCCAGAACCTTGCGTGCACCTTTTTTCCAAGCTCCTCAGATCTCATCAAGGGGGAAGATGTCAAGCAGGGGCTGCTCCTGCTTCATGCTTGCCCTCAACACCCTCATCCTGAAGGACCCCCTCTCTAGGGATCAGTGAAGGCAGCAGCCTTCAGGCAGATGCTCTGGTGCAGGGCTGCTCCACACATGACTTCCTTTCTCCTAGAAAGCACTCCAGAAAGGGAGAAAAACACAGTCCACACCAGCTGCCTGAAAACGCTAGAGGGTTATGGGAGGATCCAGACAATGTAAGCAAAGTGCTTGGCACATACAGGTACTTAATACACGGTATTATTATCACTGCAATGATAGTGCTAGTTGGATGAGCCACTCATGTGTTCCTGGCCACTCAGGTGACAGGCCAGTGAAGGAGTAGTGGGGACAGAGGCCTGGGGCTGGTTGGAGCACCTCTACCAGCCTTTGGAGTCCAGCAGACTTCAGAGCCCGCTCCCTCCTGCATCCTGATGACAGAAGAACCTGCCAGCCACCCCTCTGCTGCCAGTGGGACTTGGGGAAACTAAACTAGACTGAGGATTGCCCACCGCTGTCCTGCTAAGGAGTTCACTGTTCTCCAGACTTCGGGTATTTTGTTTTCACAGTCAAAATTTTGAGCACTTGCATTCAACTTTTTTCTCTGAATCAACTGTAAATTAGACTATCCCTTTTAACTTAGCTTCATCCTAAGCAATAATATCTGCAAATTCATGGGTTTGATGTCCTAGTTATTTTTTTCTGGTACAAAAAATAATAATAATAGCAAACCAAGGTTTAAAATATTCTGCCAGATACCACCGGAAATAGCCTAGTGGCCCCCAACTGTGCTACCCTGCACCTCAGGCTCTCCTGACCGTATCCCAGGGTGGGCTCACCATCCATACCTCTGCAGACGCACCAGCTGGGCCATTTGGGGCCAAGGCTGGTGAGAACCCAGGCGTCCTGGTTCCAGTCACCAAGAACAACTCCCGAGAAGGCAGAGGCTCCCCCTCTAACATCTCTGATGGCTGGGGCCCACCCTCCAGCCACCTGACACATGTCACGCCAATGGCTCTCTGCCTCACATCTTCAAAAGCACTTTGAACAAACATTAATGACCCCTTGGCATTTCTCTGAGAAAGGGGGCGAGGGAGGGAGGGGGACAAGCACCATCCCATGCTGTCCTCAGCTGGAGGAAGGAACCAGGCAACAAAATTCCGTGACTTCACCAAAGCCACAGACTTAAGCTGGGGCCCCCTCCTCACCCCCCTCACTTCCCCCAATGGCAACTTTTACTGGCCCGCATTCCTCTTGCTGGGAACACTACTATTTAATTAAAAACGACAGACTTTTGTTTTCCTCTCCCTCTTTCCTCCTCCCTCCCATCCTCCCAGACTGGATGCCAAGGAGACCCACCAAAAACATGCGGGTAACATTTGTTATGGCTTTGAAGATAAAAGTCAATTGAAGTAAGCCCTCGCTGTATTTCAAGTTTTCCCTCTAGCATGGAGCAAGTTGCCTGGCAGTTTAGGAAAGAAAAAAAAGGAGGGGGGGCGACTGCAAATAAATGTCATTCTGCAGGAATACTTTGTAAAAATAAACAGGCTGAAAAAACCCAAAACTTGATTAATGGAAATCCACTCAGTCGGCCTCTGTCTGGAGCTGCAAATGCATTTGTTCATACGGCTAAATTGGATCATTTTCATTGGCCTTTAAATAAATACGGAGATCAAAAACGAGAAACCGTGGGGGAAGAAGGGGAGGTTTGGAGTTCTGTTTTTAAAGGGCCCCAACTGCAGTGCCCCCCACCCACCACGTTTGACCTTTACCAGGGGACAGCAGCTCCAATTCCAATCCAGCCAACAGATGAAGAGGAACGAAGAAGAGAAAGCCCCAGCTAAGCAGCGGTGGAGGAGGCAAGGGGAGCTTCTCCCAGGTGCAGAGGGCATGTCAGGCACGCACAGGAACCAGCTTGATCCACAGGCTCACCCCCCCAGCACCAGCCTGCAAGTGAGCTGCCAGCCCACCACCCAAATACACACACATCTGAAGACTCCACCAGCATCTCCCCAGCCCATGGACAAGACCAAAGAACTCACCAGACCTGAGACTCAGTCTGTTCCCCTCTAAGTTAAAAAAAAAAAAATTAAATGTCACATCAAAAAGTTGATTCATCCTTTGATCCTCAGCTCGCGCGAGTTCCACGCAGACCGCCTGAAAGCCCCGTGCAGAGTTCCGGAGCTCACAGGACATCTGTGAACACAGTCCCGGGCCAGGGGCCGGGGCTGCTCCCACTCATTCCTGTCACACTTATTGCTCCTCCAGGGAGTTCTCGGGGACCCACAGAATGAAGGCTCAGGAGTGGGCCCAGGTTATGGCAGAATGAGGCCCTCTCTCTCCTTATGGGCCAAGTAAAGGGTCTGGCTGGGTCTCAGTCTCCCCAGAGACTGCCATCCCTACTGCAGCCTGCTCTACTGGGTTCCTGGGCAGATGGCACTGATGAATGCCACACAGAGAGGAACACATTCAGATCTGAGGCCAGCATAGTCCTGCCCCCACCCAGACACCTCTAATGCCTCCCCTCTCTCCCTAGCCCCCACTCCAACTCCACCTTTGAATGCTGCCGGCAGAAACAAGGTAGAAGTCAGCAGGCCTCCAATCCCTCCAGCACAGACAAGCTTCCCCATCAACTCAACCTTCACCTCCTCACCTGGGTCGTTTCCGCAGGCAGCCCTCTGCCCCAACCTAGGCAGGAGACTGGTGCCCACCTGCCTTTAAGGTTCTCCAAAGCATGGGGGCACAGGGTTCTGTTCGTGGGGCAGGGGGCAGCTGAAGGGGATTTTAGACCCAGAAACTGTGCAGGAGCGTGCTGAAAGTTGGGGTGCGTGGGAACGGAGACCGATCTCTGAGGCTGGAAGGGTGCGAGGGGGTGGGGATCGTACCCGGGTGCCTCGGCCAACGGTGCCAGCCAACCGCAGCTGTCGGGGTCCCGAGACGCCGCCCGGGCAGCGTTGCCTCCCGATCCACTCCTCGATGCCCTTCCGAGCCCAGGCGGCGCTCACGGCGAAGCTGTCACCTGGGGCGGGGACAACATGAAGCCCCTGAGTCTAGCTCCGGGGCCAAAAGTTACCCGAGAGCGGAGGGAAGAGTGGGCGCGGCGGCGGCGGGAGGCACCGGGGGCCGGGAGGGGCGTTCCAGAGCCGGGGCAGAATGCGAGAGGCACGCAGGTAATCGGCACCAGGGGGCTCAGCGAAGCCCCAAGAGCCACGATCCGGAAGCGGGGCCCGAGGGCGAGCAGAGCCCCAGGAGAAGGGGCTGGGCATGAGAAGCAGCAGCTCTGGAGGCCAGGACCGTGGGGAAGAGGACTGGGGTCAGGAGGGGGGCGCAGCGGGCGCAGGAGCCAAGCTCTCGGGAGAAGGCACCGGGGGCCCGAGGGCGGGGGCAGGGTCTCGGGAGAAGGCGCGAGGGGGTCCGAAGAGGGCGCCGTG